CTATGAGAAAAGTTGGTTCTTTTGTACCATAAACTATCCCATGTTTAGTTGTCAACCACACTTACTGTTAGTAAACATTTAATTGAGCGATTGAAACGATTAATGCGTCAAGTATAAACTTCTTGATGCATTATTCGTTTCATATATAAATGAATATAAACATGAATAAATATGGCTGATAAGTAATACGAATATAAAAATGCTCATTTTTTGGGATTGATTAGATGAATGAAATATGACTGATGAATATTTAATAGAGTGTTCCTGATGCTGTTGAACTTTTTCACCCCTTGAACAATGCATATAACCCAAACCTCTCTGCCATCAGCTAACAACAATCTATTCCATTTCTTAACGATAAATCAAATGAAAAACAACGAAATCGATGCGCTATTGAAGAAGTTCGATGTCAAGCGTCAGTCGATTACATAAAACGAATCAATCAATCGATTCCTTACTTCTAAACAAGCATTTCGAAAGCTATACCAAACAACTGTGAGCACAAATCAGTCAGCAATAATTTGCCAATCTCGTTGATTCCGCTCTTGTGAGAATTGTTGATGACTTTTTTCAAGTATAGGTGTTGGATTGGTGTGAACACCAAGTGCACCTTTCACAAGCGGCGATTGACTCTGAGGAGGAAAAAAGTTGGCGAAGCAGTTTCCTTGAGCTGCCCGACTGCAACGATCTATTCGAACTTGTACAGGTCAGCCAGCCACCGATAGCCAACAGCGCGAATTTCTAGCGATTTGAAGGTTGATCGAATGATTGCACTTCGAGAGAGCTGCACCTACCGTTTTGCTTGCAGTTGAAACAAACATTTGTGGAACAAATTCAGCAGATTCGTTAAGTTTTCGGAAATGAAATTTGTTCATCAGCGCCACTTATGGTTATCAGTATTAACTTCGAAGTTCGGCGAGTTTTACCTGTCAACAGTTTATATGTATCATTTTTGAAGTGAGTTGATGTTGAAGGCAGCCAACTATTTGGACGTTAGTGATTTGTTAGCAGCCGGATGCAAGCAGATTGCTGCACTTATCAAGGGTAAAACTGTTGAGGAGTTACGTGAATTTTTCCATATCGAAAACGATTTCACACCCGAAGAAGAGGCTAAGGTATGAACACCTTTAATGTTTGCATATTGCTTGAGAAATCGATGAAGAAATTTAGGCGAATTTGCCCTCAATGCGAAATTCTCGTAGTTTTGAAATGAACGCTAGTCATAATCCCAAAGAGTGTTTGGGCTTTTTGAACATTTCTCAAATGATCGTCGATGTCCACAAAACTTTCAAATCTGTGATATACGACGTTACGATGAACATTTTAAATGATTCTTGAAGATGAACCATTGTACTATATCGTAGTACATACAGTACGTGGAAGATTATTGATGTAATGAACGAAGGAATAATTTTTTGCAGGTAAGGGAGGAGAATGCATGGTGCGAAATGTAGCGGGTGAAGAGGACTGCATCAGTCCACC